TTGAATATTTTATTTTCTGATAAAATTATGTATCACAAAACAAGTAATTACCACATTTCTTTGTGTTGTAAATGGAAAGGGAGCCATCTGCTTTAAGATCGGAAATCTCGCTTTCAAGACACCGTAAGCACGTTCAATAACATTTTTGAGTTGGGAATGTGCATGATTAAACCTTTCTTCTTTAGTCAATGCACATTGACGTTGAAAATCTGCCGACCATTATCTTGTGTTATGATATGGAGCCAAAAATCCACGAGCATTAGCGTACGCAGCATCTTAAAGATGGTATTTATCTGAAAAACCACCCACATGGATCGTGTTGGGACTTCCGCCTCATCGTTCCCTCGAGCCGGTCAAATCCRAGATTCTTAAACCCAACGCTCCTGTAGCAATGCAGGAGCATCCCACATCGGTGAGGCTAGGGGATTCGTCTTCCTTATAAGGAAGGGGGGATCTTACTCCTACCAGTGACGCGTTTTAAAGCCGTGAGGGGTTGTTGCCGAGAGGGGCAACCCAAAGCAGACAATATCATGTGGGCGGTTCCCTAGTTTTCGGTCCAACAATTGGTATCAGAGCTAGGGCCGCACCAATGTGAGGGGGGAATGTTGGGACTTCCGCCTCATCGTTCCCTCGAGCCGGTCAAATCCGCGATTCTTAAACCCAACACTCTTGTAGCAATGCAGGAGCATCCCACATCGGTGAGGCTAGGGGGATTCGTCTTCCTTATAAGGAAGGGGGGGGGATCTTACTCCTACCAGTGACGCGTTTTAAAGCCGTGAGGGGTTGTTGCCGAGAGAGGCAGCCCAAAGCGGACAATATCATGTGGGCGGTTCCCTAGTTTTCGGTCCAACAGATCGTATAATATACAAATAAAAAAGCAAAATACAAATTGAGAATGGTATACATATATACCTTGTGGTGGAAAGGGAAAACCAGATCTTGGGTTAAAAGCAACTTTCCTAAGTATTCTAAAATCATGTGCTATACCTTCCCATCTAGCCTAAACAAAAGTGAATATCATGTTGAAATCATAAATTCCTAAAACATTTTGATAGCATCGACCGTCTTCTCTTCCCATGTCAGCAGTTTGATGACTAACTGGCACAATTGCATCTATAAGGGTACCGTCTATCGCACCTATTGCACCCTACATTAACAAAAGAAAAAGATTATATATATATATATATGTGTGTGTGTGTGTGTATGTGTGTGTGTATAAAACTTTAAAACGTCTAATAAATCTTACCGGAAATATTTCCCTCAAACGTCTATGATGACTCGACATATTTAAAGTTGTATCAGAAGTTGTTGGCACCACTACTAATTCTCTTGCGAATTCCATCATACCCAGTAAAACTTCAGGGAAATGAACATGAACAGTTCTTGTAGAGCGTTGAAATATGGCTGATCATCGTAAAAAACATTGCGATTTTCTCTTCGACACTAACATGTCTACTGTCTTTCACCCATTTTCTTTGTCTAAAATGATTGCATAACAGTATATATGATTCACGTGAGAGGCATATTAACTCTTGGGTGTATGCATATCCGCTCATTGTCGAAGTTTTATCAGGCATTCTTTCTATTCTTTCTGAAGCATTTCTCCGTCGTCTTACATATATATTAGGACTACGATCATCATTTCTTCCTCAAAAGTCAACATATCTATTCAAATAAAAAGGCATATTGTAAATATAAAAAAAAACATTATAAATCCAAAACCAATACATAAAATAAACATGCTTATCAAAATCCAAAACCAATGTTTATCATAAATCCAATTCCACATACATATCATAAAACATCATATGTCTAAAAAAAATGTGGCACCAAATTGTCATCCAAAAACCTCACAAGTTATTAACATAAAACTCTACTTCACAAGTCATTAAACACCAAAAAAGTTCTAAAAGAGTGGCAGCAATCCTTACTGATATCCTTGTTTCGCCCTGTTTATTGTCATTCAAGCTTCTATATTACGGTTGTTGTTAGGATCAAACGCTTACCCACTACACCAAAAGCAATTGCCTTGGTGAAGGTGCAACCTTATTTCCCTTATAGTGTAGCAGCCAGCGCCACGTTTCGATTTAGAAAGATGCTGGAACCGTGACCAACAATCCCCCCCCAGCTTCTGCCGGTACTAATAAGAGCTTCGTTAGAAGTCAATGGCCGCGCAGCATGCCTTTCTCATAATTATGCACTCCTTGCATATTATGCACACCATGGGATTCGAACCCGTGACCTGCTCTGATATCAATTGTTAGGATCAAGCGCTTACCCACTACACCAAAAGCAATTGCTTTGGTGAAGGCGCAACCTTATTTCCCTTATAGCGTAGCAGCCAGCGCCACGTTTCGATTTAGGAAGATGCTGGAACCGTGACCAACAGTTGTCTGTAAAAAGAGAAAAGGCAATTCGATACAAATGGATCATCTTTTTCCCACCAAGCTCGTTCAATTTTTTTAGGCATGTGTCATAACTAACAAGCTCGGAGTTCTCATATTTCGATACCATAGCATCTATAAACTTTATAAGCTTTTTGTTTCTCAACCGGAGCATGAGATGAACAAGGTGTTGAAGACACATGAGTTTGATCACTTGATACATTGATCTCTTCCTCAATGACCACAAAGGCTCGGTGGTTGGCAAAGGGTCTTTTGATAATTTTCCATGGCCTCCAAACCCGTGGACATGCCACTCTCAAATAGTTGTGCGCACAAGTCAGGATATGGAAGACTTGTAGTCCTCAATAATTCAACATACATATTGGTCTGTGTTAAAGAAACATTTATAAATATACAAACAAAATAAAAAAAGAATTGAAATGAAACAAAATCTAAAGTTAGAAAGCAACCTCCATCTCCAACTCCCATTTCTCGGGAGTCAAGTTAAAAGTGTCTGTTGAAGGATCATAAACATTGCTGGTTTTATTTTTTAAGTTTAATCAAACACCATATTTTCTTTTCAAGTAATCGAAATGGTTCCACATTTGCTTTCGATCTACAACAAAGTTATGTGTGTTTTTAAAAGTCTCCACAACTTTTTTCCACGAAAGTGCCTTTAAGCTAGCACCCTCATTTCCATTCAACCCAATCTTTAGAATACAACTTTCTAAGAAAGTTTTCACAATATTGGGATCATTCCAACTAATTCTAACCCTTTTTTGTTGTTGTGTTTCACCCATTTGTTCCATACCTAAAACAAAAACAGGATGATAGTATTCTATAACGAACATTCGAGATATTAAACAAGAAAAATACATGATAACATTCTAATACGAACAACTAAACCCACAAAAATAACAAAATGAATAAGAAAACCACAAAGTTCAATCCAAACAACAAATCAACATAAGAAAAACTATAACAAATTCTCAATTGTATAAACAACAAAAGGAGAATACATAATAAGAGAAATTTATCCAAATACCTAAAGGGACTCTCTCTCTAAAGAAAACCCTTCTTAATTCTTAACAAGGATTTGGACTATGGAAAAATTAATTAAATATGGATTGAAACAATCCCAGATAACAAACTCATTACATCAGAAGTTGAAAACTATCAAAGTTGAATTATCGAAAATTTGACTATCCAATGAACAATTTGAGAGCCGTTAAGATCATCAATGAAAAATAAACCCTACAGAAGTTGATTACCTTTAAAAACTGGATGAAAAATAAACGCCACAACAGATTCTTTCTTCTTAAAAACAAATAAATAGATAGATACATTGGAGAAGCAAAACCAAATAATCAATAGTAAAAACTGGTTTTTATATGTGTTCCCTCTCTCTCTAGACGCTTTATACAATCGATAGATATAGTGGAGAAGCAAAACCAAACAACCGATAGATACAGTGGAGAAGCAAAAGCAAACAATCGATAGATACAGTGAAGAAGAAATCAATAGAGAGCAATCGATCTGAAGAAGTAGTTACCTTTGGAGAAGGGAGCAATCAATTTGGAGAATCTGAACTTGTTACCTTTGAAGAGAGAAATCGTGAAAATGAAGAAGAGATCGGCTAATGAAGAAGAGATCGGCTAGGGTTCTTTTCTCAAATGAAGAAGAGATCGACTAGGGTTATGTGTGTTTTGAGAAAGACGTGTTTTAGTAAACAAGGATAGGATTGTCTTTTTTTTTTGGTTGAATGTGGACAAAAGTTGTTTTTGTTCTGTGCTATTAAACCCATTTTTATGCGAATAAGCCTCAAGTAAACACACCATTTTAGTTGTGCGAATAACCCATTTACCCATTAAGTCATAAGTAAACACCCCCTTACAATTTTCTCTCTTTCCACTCTTAACAATACAAATATATATTATTAGTTTTTTCAACCACAAGGGTGGTGCCTGGTTGGTTTAAGCTTGACTCCAAATATCAAAAGTACCTGGAGGTCCCAGGTTTAAATCTAAGGAGGAATAAAAATCCTCTTGTGGCCATAAAAGTTCAAATATGATGATTCCAAGCTATCTGCAAAATAGATGGTTACCATGAGATTAGTCGGCTCGTATAACGAATTGGATATCCAGATTAATAAAAAAAAATTCTAATTCAGAATTCAGAAACACAATGTTAGTTCTTGACATCATAGCGTCCCTATATAAAAAATATAAATATTTAGAGTAAATTATATTTTTAGTCCTTATAGTTTATTGAAAATTTCTATTTTCATTCCTATAGTTTATTATTCATTACGTTTTTCGTCCTTATAATTTAAAATTTATTTTTCATCCATTTGATTTATAATTCACTTCTATTTTAATTATTCGTACTTAAAAGTAGTGTTTTGGTCTTGGGAACAAAAATAAAAATAAATTACAAACTATATGAACAGAAATTGAAAATTTCAAAACCAGAAGGACAAAATTCGAAATTTTTAACAAACCATAGGGACTAAAAACGTAATTTACTCAAATATTTAACTCAAAAGAAAAAAGTTGAAATAACAGACTTGAGGGGATGCCATAACTCTCCGACGACTGCAATTTGCAAACCAGAGCCAAGTCAAAGTCCAAGTCAAAGTCTTCATCTACATTGGATCAACACTTGATCATCGTGTCTCTCTCTTCATCCTACAAATTCATGGTGGAAATACCACCGGAAAACCCTAACCATGATCGCCTTCAACCCCTTTCTGCAATTCCTCTTGTCATCAACAATCATCTTTTCCCTTTCCTCCTCCTCCGCCACCGCCGCTGATATTCTACCAGGCCAATCTCTCTCCGCCGCAAACCCCAACCAAAGTTGGAACTCACCTAGTAATACCTTCTCTCTTAGCTTCATCTCTGAATCCCGCGACACCAACTTCGTTGCCATCATCTACAATGGCATATCACTCTGGAAAGCCGGTGGAGATGCCGGCGTCGCTGACTCCACCGCCTCCCTCACCTTCCTTTCCGATGGCAACCTTCGTCTCGTCAATGGATCCTCCGGCTCCGTCGTCTGGCAGTCCAATACCGCCGGTCGTGGCGTCACCACAGCTTCTCTTGATGATTCAGGTAATTTGGTCCTCCGAAATGGGTCCGTTTCTGTATGGTCCACATTTGAAAATCCCTCCGATACGATACTTCCCAACCAGAATTTCACAGTGAATAACGTTTTGCGTTCTGGATTATACTCGTTTCGATTGATTGATTCTGGGAATTTAACTCTTAGATGGAATGATTCGATTGTGTATTGGACTTTAGGGTTGAACTCATCGGTTAATGCTAACCTAACTTCACCAAGTTTAGGTCTACAATCAATTGGGATTCTATCACTTTCAGACCCTATGCTTCCCACCTCTGTAATTATGGCTTACAGTAGTGATTATGCTGAAGGTCCTGATATATTTAGGTTCACCAAGTTAGATAACGATGGCAATTTGAGGATTTACAGCTCCTCCATGGGTACTGTTGGTGCTCAAAATGTGAGATGGGCTGCTGTTAGTGATCAATGCGAGGTATTCGGTTATTGTGGTAATTTGGGTATCTGTAGCTATAACGGTTCGGATCCGGTTTGCGGTTGTCCGTCGCAGAATTTCGATGCAATTGATCCAAACGATGGCCGAAAAGGTTGTCGGAGGAAGGTGGAGATTCAGAATTGCCCCGGTAGCGCCACCATGTTAGAATTGGATAATTCTAAGTTCTTAACTTACCCACCGGAATTGACTTCGCAGGTGTTCTTCGTGGGTATTTCCGCTTGCCGGTTGAATTGTCTCGTTAGTGGTTCTTGCATTGCTTCCACCTCGTTATCGGATGGAACGGGTTTGTGTTACTTGAAAGTCCCGAGCTTTGTGAGCGGGTATCAATCGCCTGCGCTTCCAAGCACATCATATCTCAAGGTCTGTGGACCTGTGACCCCGAATCCCTCAGTGACTTCCGAAAAGGGCACCCGATGGAAACTACGACCATGGGTCGTGGTGGTCGTGGTTATTGGTACGCTTTTCGGTTTGGTTATGGCGGAATTCAGTTTATGGTGGTGGTGTTGTCGAAACAGCCCGAAACTTGGTGTATTATCGGCTCAATATGCACTTCTCGAATATGCCTCAGGTGCACCGGTCCAGTTCTCGTACAAGGACCTCCAACGGGCCACAAAAGGGTTCAAGGAGAAGCTTGGAGCCGGTGGGTTCGGTGCGGTCTATAAAGGGGTTCTAGCAAACCGAACGGTGGTTGCCGTGAAACAACTAGAGGGGATCGAGCAAGGCGAGAAACAGTTCCGGATGGAGGTTGCAACCATCAGTAGCACCCACCATTTGAATTTGGTGAGACTGATCGGGTTTTGTTCCGAGGGTCGGCACCGGCTTTTAGTCTACGAGTTCATGAAAAACAGTTCGCTCGACAACTTCCTCTTTACTGCCGAAGAACAATCCGGAAAGATGTTGAACTGGGAGAGTCGGTTCAATGTCGCTCTCGGGACGGCCCGGGGGATCACGTACCTTCACGAGGAATGCCGAGACTGTATCGTCCACTGTGATATAAAACCCGAAAACATCCTGTTGGATGAGAATTACAATGCCAAGGTTTCGGATTTCGGGCTCGCAAAACTTGTGAACCCGAAAGACCATAGGTACCGGACGTTAACGAGCGTGAGAGGGACTCGAGGATATTTGGCTCCCGAATGGCTTGCAAACCTCCCGATCACATCCAAATCAGATGTATACAGTTACGGGATGGTGTTGTTAGAGATTGTATGCGGAAGACGGAATTTCGAAGTCTCAGAATACACCAACAGGAAAAAGTTTTCGAGCTGGGCATACGAAGAGTTCAACAAAGGAAACATCAAAGAGATTATCGACAAAAAGATCGTAAACCATGACCAGATCGATATAGATCAGGTTCGGAGAGTGATCGAAACGAGCTTTTGGTGCATTCAAGAGCAACCGTCTCAGAGGCCGATGATGGGAAAAGTTGTTCAGATGTTGGAAGGGGTGACAGAGATGGAGAGGCCGCCGGATCCTAAGACGGGCTCCACCATCGAAGGTTCGGTTGCTGGGACTAGCGTGAACCTGAGTAGCAGTGTCTCCACCTCTACACCGTCGTCTATGCCGCCTCCCTCATCATCATCGTCCCTCCAAACTCTGAGAGGGTCTTCGTTTACTTCGGGGATGAACATCGAGAGGGCATCGTCATCGCTATTGAATTCGGTTACGATGTGAAACGGTCGGTTTTCGGTTATGGTATGATGTTTAGATACAAGTTTGTGTACGTATTATTATGGAAGTCATATGTAAGTAGTAATGTTATTATTGTATGTGCCTCAAATATGCTTTGATCTCAGCTTTATAATTTGATGTCAGCTGGGTTTTTGCATATACCATATAACGAGTTAAAACAAGTTTAAATAAATCAGGTACACCTCTATTCTAATTTGGGAAAAATCAATAAAAAAAATGAAAAAGCGAGAAATACTTTGATAACTATAAATATGTGCATCTATATACAAGTTATTGAAGATGTTTTATGGATTCCATGCACGTGTGTAATTGTGCATACCAGGCAAATTACTTGTATGCATGTATGCATGCTGTAATGATAAATGGTTATTAGAGTGTTTAGTTTTTAAACTTTTTTACGGACAGTATATACAGACTTCTTCTACTTTTTCCTTTTCTCTCAATTTCTCTCTACTCTCTGCTCTCGTCTATCATGGTATTAGAGCTCCACGATCCAATCTGACCTTCTTCTCATTTTTCGTTCTTCAATTTCAATTTCTTCTTGTTCAATTTTGTTCTCGCTTCTTTCTTCTTCGTCAGTCTCAATATGACTGACAAACAAACAGAAACAGCGAATAAGAACATGAATGCCTCTGCTTATTCGAATCCTTTGTTTCTGAGTCAAAGCGATAATCCTGGAACGATGCTGGTCACGAAGATCTTCGATGGAAAGAGTTTTGGAGCTTGGAAGCGTGCGATGTCTTTGGCACTTTCTGTCAAGAACAAATTAGGTTTGTAAATGGGAGGACAAAGAAACCTGCAGAAGATGATACTACTTATGATGATTGGGAGAGATGCAATCCCATTGTTATTACATGGATTCTTAATGCGATGACTAAAGAAATCTCTGAAGGACTGATATATTACACAACAAGTGCGATTTGGAAACAGTTGCACCATATGTTCGAACAATCGAATCTGGTTGTAGTTTTTCAATTGCAGAAAGAATTGAATCAAATAGCTTAAGGAGCTGATTCGATCACCACATATTACTCCAGATTCAAACGAATTTGGGATGAATTTGCAGCAATTGATGATTTACCTGATTGCACCTGTACTGCAGGAGAGGCTTGGATAAAACGCATGGAAAGGCAGCAATTAGTGCAGTTTCTTTTTGGTTTAAATGATAACTACATGCAAGTTAGAGGTAATATTCTTCATGAAAAACCTACTCCTAATATTGTTGATGCTTATGCGACATTGATTCAAGAAGAACAGCAAAGAGAAGTTACTGCCCCTGTGAAGTTGAACGCTGAAGGAATGGCAATGCTAGCTAATAAAAACAATTCTGCAAGAGCAAAGGTATTCATGAATGCTGAAATGAAAAGAAATCTTGTTTGCAATTACTGTAAAAAGAAAGGTCACATTAAGGCAGAATGTTACAGATTGATCGGTTTTCAGAAAGTTTCAAGTTCAATAATCCAAGGAGATCTTCTTCCTCTGTTAATGTTGTTGAAGGAAATGTTGAAATTTCCAATCATGATTACCAACAGATTATGAACTTTATCAACAATTGCAAAATTAAAGAGACTGTTATCTCAAATTTTGGACAAAAATCCTCCAGCAGTTCATCCGATTATGTCATAGAGAAAGAAGGAAATGGATTTGATGCATGTGCAGGTAAAATTTTGACTACTCCTATTTCTAGTTTTTGGATTATTGATTCTGGTGCGTCTGATCATATGTGCAATCATAAGTATTTGTTCTCCACTCTCACAAAACTTCCTAAATCTCACAAGATTTCTTTACCTAATGGTAATACGTTGTTTGTTGAGTCAATTGGAAACATTACTCTATCGAATTCGTTAACTCTGAATAATGTGCTATATGTTCCATCATTTCATTATAATCTTCTCTCTGTATCCAAGTTGTGTTCTACATATAAATCTCCCGTTTATTTTTCTGATACATATTGTTATATGCAGGACCCTCTCACCAAAAAGCCCTTGGTACTTGGTAAAAGGGTTGGAATTCTCTACTTGTTAAACTCCAATCAAGTCAAGATTTGTGATTCCGATAGTTTTTCTGCATCTAGTACTGTTATGCTAGATAAATGTAACAAGATCGTTTCCTTGTGGCATTTACGTTTTGGTCATCTTCCTTTGTACAWGCTAAAACAAATAAATCTTGCTCCAAATGCTTGTAATAAAGATTTGTTTCATTTATGTGTTGTATGTCACAAAGCTAGGCAACACAAGTTACCTTTTCCCATTAGTCAATCCAATGCTGATTCTATATTTGATTTGCTTCATGTTGATGTTTTGGGTACATTTTATACTCCTACATATGATGGACAAAAATATTTTGTCACTATGGTTGATGATTACAGTAGGTCAACTTGGATTCATTTGTTGAAACACAAAAGTGCAGCCTTTCATATCATAAAGTCATTCGTTCAGTTTRTACAARCTCAGTTTCATAAAACAGTTAAAGTGATTCGGACTGATAATGCCAAAGAATTGGGCAATAGCATTGAAGGAAAAAATTTCTTCTCTTCCAAAGGTATTATTCATCAATTAGCTTGCCCATATACACCTCAGCAGAATGGAAGAGTTTAAAGAAAACACAAACATCTTCTTGAAACAGCTAGAGCCCTGATGATCCAATCTGCATTACCTCTAAATTTTTGGGGGGATAGTGTTTTGACTTTAGCCTATCTTATAAACAGAATGCCTTCAAAAGCGTTAAATCATCTTACTCCTTTTGAACTTTTATTTAAAGCCAAGCCACAATATGACCATTTACGACCTTTTGGATGTTTGTGTTTCGTTTCCACAAATCATATAGACAGACATAAATTGCAATCCAGAGCTGATCCACACATTTTTTAGGATATCCTTTTGATATGAAAGCATACAAAGTYATGCATCTTGAAACCCAGAAAATCTCATATTCACGAAATGTTGAATTTTGTGAAACTGAATTTCCTTTTACCAAACCTTTTCCTTCACCAAATACACATATTTTGCCATTTCCTACTCAAACCTCTAATCTTGTTTCTTCTGATCATGTTGAACCCGAAACCTTTGATTCGACCCATTCTTCTGATATACCTGTCCAAACGGCATCCCAGTCACCAAGTCATCCAATCACAGAATCTGAGTTTGTGCATACTGAACAAGAGTCTCGAAATCTTGATCATGTTGAATCGATTACCATTCCTGCATTATGCAGATCTTCTAGAGCTTCTAAACAACCTTCTCATTTTGATGATTTTGTTTGCAATCATGTCTTCAGATGCTTCAATGCCTTATATTGAAATATGTCCTCATACTATGACTAATCTATTTATTTCATCTCAGAATCAGTATCCAATTGCTTTAAATAGTTTTAGTCAATCTTTTGCTGCAAATATAATTTCTGTTGTTGATCCTAAGTCATATGAGGAAGCTGTTTCTAATCCTTTTTGGCAAGAAGCCATGGCAAAAGAATTTGCAGCCTTAGAAGCAAATAGAACTTGGAAGCTTGTTCCTTTACCTGCAGGAAAGCGTGCTATAGGATGTAAATGGGTTTACAAAACCAAGTTCAATAAAGATGAGACAACTGAAAGATATAAAGAACGGTTGGTAGCACAAGGCTTCACTCAAAAACAGAATGAAGACTATTATGAGATATTCTCTCCGGTTGTCAAGTTTACTACTATCAGATGCATTGTAGCACTTGTTGTCAAACAACATTGGCCCATTCATCAGTTAGACATTAACAATGCTTTTTTACTTGGAGATTTGCATGAAGAAGTTTACATGAAAAGACCCAAAGGTATGGTTTGCACAAATGATAACTATGTTTGCAAACTTACGAAGTCTTTATATGGTTTGAAGCAGGCTTCTCGTCAGTGGTATTCAAAGTTATCTGAAGCATTAAAAGCAAGAGAATTTCATCATTCTCAGAATGATTACTCTTTGTTTCTCAAAAAGACAAAAGAGTCGTTCACCATAGTGGCTGTATATGTTGTTGATGTCATCGTGACCAAAGATTGTATTTCTGAAATAGAAGAGTTGAAGAAGTTTTTGCATAAAACTTTTCAAATCAAAGACTTGGGTCTTTTTAATTACTTTTTGGGATTGTAGTTCTTGCGAAGTGATCAAGGAATCTTTCTAACTCAGAAGAAATATCTCACTGAGTTACTTGATGAGTATGGTATCACAACTGCTAAAAAGGTGACAACTCCGTTACCTTGTAATTTGAAACTTATGCTAGACATGCCTAATCTTTTAGAAGATCCGAGCAAATATCGAAAGTTGGTGGGGAAACTCATTTTTTGGTTCATACTCGGCCTGATTTTGGCATTTAGTGTTCAGTTTCTCAGTCAGTTTAAACCAAATCCCTCAAAAGCTCATTGGGATGCTGCTATATATGTTCTGAACTATTTGAAAGTATTTGGTTCTTTTGGGTTATTTTTCAATGACAAATCAAATTTTTCTCTTTCTGCTTATTGTGATTCAGATTGGGCAACTTGTCCGTTTTTCAGAAGGTCAGTAAGTGGTTACTTTGTTTCTTTTGGGGGGAGTCCTATATCATGGAATTCAAAAAAACAAGTAACAGTTTCATTGTCTTCAGCCGAGGCTGAATTTAGATCTATGAGAAGAATTACAACTGAACTTACATGGCTGAGCAGACTTTTGGCAGATTTAAGAGTGGAAAACATTACTCCAATTGCTTTGAAGTGTGATAATCTTGCGAGCATACATATAGCTAACAATCCAGTTTTTTCACGA